ATATCCTGATGCTCAGCACCACCCCGTGGAGAACAGGCAGACGCACGTTCCAACGTACCTTTTCTTGGGCAATTTAATCTTCGCAATGTAACTCAGGCAGTAGTTGATGAGATCCTGAAGTAAGTCCTCACCCAGGTGACCCTGAATGCTCTAACAAAATAAATAATGTTCAACCAAGGGTCCAGAGTTTGAGATTCTAAAAACAAGGCACATGGAAAACACAGACTTTGGATAATGAGGCATGGTTCATGCCACAGAGAAACGTGCCTTCAGTGAGGACTCTTAAGGTGATGCACACAGGGTACTAATAAAGGTTCTCTTTTGTTTTTTGTTGTTTACTTTGTTTTCTTTAAACCAAACTCATTCAATATGCTCCCTGCTAGTACCTGCTTTAGAAGGAGATAGTGTGAGCCAAAGACAGCAAACCTGAACAAAAACTTGCAGTCAACATCTACTGTAGCCAAGCGTGAAGAAACGGAGATCATGACTGCAGTGAACTGGAAATCAGTGCTCAAGTCAGCAGTTCCTGCCAGGAGCCCTGTCAAACTTTTAATCTCCATTGCTTAGGTTGAACCAATGAAGATCATTAGAGTAACCAGAACCAGATGCACATTTATATTACTTGATATTACAATATTCTTCTTCTAGCTTATGCAACATATCAGAATACACACTCTGAATTAATACTAAAAAGTAGCTACAAGAAACTTTCTGAACCCTCAGGCCCAAGAGACATCAGCTATGAAGTCACATACTCCACAGGGCCTCCTGGAGCAGAGGGCTTGGCCACAGCTCCTATCGATAAGCTGAGGGAAAGGCTGTTCCAGGATTTTCACTGTTCTTTTTGATCAGATGCTCCAGACTCCAAGAGCTTTTGGTTTGCAGAGTACCCCGAAGAATAAAGCTCAAGATGCAGGTTGTCATCACCTGAATCAGGGCACCAAATGAATGATGTGTTACAAAAGTAACCCATGAAAATGGGGGCACTTTTGGCCTTCGTTAGAAGGGTGATTACAGAGGTCTGCACTGCAGCAACAAACCAAAATCTAGTTTAGAAACTCTTCATGATTCCACACTTACCTGCTTGCTCAAGAACTTCCCATCTTTGTATGCTACAAGACCATTTTCTGGAAAAACGTAGTCAAATTTTTCAACCACTACAACCAAACAAAAAGACTAAGTTATAATTTCCCTTGTATGTAATACAGCAAACATTAGATCATAAAACAGCCTGAGCAGCATAACGGGGAGCACAAGACCAAAGCCACTGTCACTTCTCTCCAGGATTAACAGGCCCCTCAGATCACATGAAGTCTTTCATGTCATATGAAGTTACCTGCATTTCTGCTCAAAGGCTCTTCCTCTCCCATGAATACATCTCAGTAAACATAAGGAAATAACTGAACACCTCAAATATTACAGAAACCTGGCACGCAGCCTGGCTAGAGAGCAAATCAAATACTACTTTAGTTTTTTTGTTTTCTCAACATTACTGACCTACAGTAGATGTAGGATTGTGAGAATCTTACTGGAATGCACAGTGCCATGGCCTACATGAGACCACCTGTAACGGCCTCCAGCGGGGTTCTGTGCCTGTTACAGAGGGCCATCAGTAGCATTGATTAAGGCCATTAAAGATGATCTTTTATACAGAAAAGGAGCGGTCTCTCAAAGAAGTATAGAAAGAGTCCATCCCTACGTATCAGCTCGGCGGGTAACGGTCAGATCCTGCAGGGTTCCCTGCTGGAACTCCGCTGCGGAACCGCCCCGTCACAACGCCCTCCCAAGGCACTGCCCAAGCCAGGGCTTCACCGCTAGCAACGGTCCCTCGGTGACACCCCGGGACACCCGCAGAGCAAACACAGGCTGCAGTTACTAAGCGCCTGGAAGCAGCTGTCCGAGGGCTGAGTGCAACACAGCAAAAGCAGGCGAGAAGTTAAACGCAAAGGAGGAGGAGAACCCACGGTTAACCCTCACAACTTCCTTGTAGGCGACTTGGCGCAGGGGATTGCATCAGCCTTACCGTCATCGCCGAGCTGCTCCTTAATCTTCTCAAAGTCCGAGCCGCACTTTAACTTTCTAAAAGCCCGAGCCCCCCACCACTCCAACTTTCACCTTCTCCCGCAGCTTCTGCAGGAACGCGGCCATCTCTGCCGTGATCTTCTGGGGTCCGAAACAGAAACAGTGCGTACGTCAGCGCCCGCCCCAGAGACCAGCACCTCCACCGCCCGGTAGTTATTAAACCCCAGCACTACTGGGCCGAAAAAGGGAAGATCTGGGGTTTTTCGGCTTCGAACGGCACGGTCCGTTCGCAC